TTTTTATTTTAAAATATTAAGGGAATATAAATGTTTTTGTTACATGTATACCTGGTAGAATGCTTAAGTTGGGGCTTTTAGAGTGTCTGTCACCAGAATAGTATTCGTTGTGCTCAATAGGTAGGTTTTTACTACTCACCCCCCTTCCACCCTCCTCTCTTCTTGTTCCCAATGTCCTTTACATCTCTTTGTGCCCATCGTTTAGCTCCCAATTACTACTGAGTACATGTAATGTTTGTTTTTCCATTCCTGAGATATTTCACTTAGGATGATTGTCTCTAGTTCCTTCAGGTTGCTGCAAAAGACATTATTTCATGCTGTTTCAGAAGACCTTCTAAGACGGCAGGTAAAAAGATCTAAGAAACTCTTGTAGGTTAAGCTAGAATCTGGTGACCCTACTTGAGGCGTATAGAAGAAGTGCTAAAGAAAAGTGCCACCTTCAATTTCAGACGATATATACCGCATAACTATGTTGTGGCAGTAGTAGCCACATGAGTGGCTGGGGGTCCAGCAGTTAAAATGGAGTGATGTCCTCTTAAAGTTGTGATGTTAGGAAGCTTTTGAAACAAGAAGATGACAGAGAGCTCAGGAATAAAGAGGAGAACACAAAAATTAACTTTCTCAATTAGAAAACCATATTGAAGTTTTAAAAGAGAAGGCTAACTAGCCATACCTACAAAACTGAATTTGCACTTTAGTCAAGCCAAATGAAAACTGTAAAGACATACCCCATGCAACTATATAAATTATAGAAATAACTAAAGATAACATGTCTCTGGAGAGCAGGACATATTTTTCTAATTTTTAAAGGAAAAATAATTTAAAACATTGCTATTTTTAAAGGAGGTTATAAAGAAAATAAAAACCCTTGACCTAAGTCTCTACTGGACCCATGACATGTTACAATGTGCTGTTGCAATTTATATTCTCATAAATGTTAAAGCTCAATTACAATATGTCAAGAAAATACTTTGGTATGAAACAGTAAAAATTCCCTCACTAGGGTATTTAATGAAGGTTCTCTCCACCAAATCATAGAATCATTTTGGTTCATATTCACTTGGAAATTTGAACCAGAATTCATTAGGTCATGCTCTGGAAAGGTTTTCTCCAGAGGAAAATAAAACCATGGAGGTAGGAAATTAGAATAACTTAATACTACAAGGAAGTAAGTAAGTTACTTTGAAGCCAGATCAACCAATAGATGTCTAACATGAAAAGTATAGCTATCGTTAATATTCATCTTTATGGATATTCAATTTATAAGGCAGATAAGGATCAAAAGAGAAACTGGGGAATACTTCAGATAAAATGCCTTGAAAATAATAATCAACTCAATTTAAAAAAGGATTTATCTACCCCCCAAAACTGTTATTAGTTTTTAATGTCTTCATGTTCTTCAGTGGTTTAATTCTCAAAGGAAATATCTAGTTTAGAATACTTACTTTTTTAAGCTAGAAGTAGAATTGATGAAATTCTAATTAGATTTAAAAAGTAGGATTTATTATATGTCATCTAACCATGAAAATTTTCATTCTAGGACTTTTCTTCTAATATTAAACAGTCTTTATTAACTACTAATCAGCAGGCATTTATGGCAGCACATGCAAAACTGTAGGGAAAAGAATATGTCAGTTCCACCCACAGAATGCTTTATATTTTGTTTTATTCTCTAAACAAGAAAAAAAAACTCATGAGAAACTGTTCAATGTCCATTTTACTGCGTATACTATATTTTATACTACCCTCTGCAAGAAGTATCCCTGGAGTACTTAATAAATCTTAATTGCATAGATGACTGAATTATTAATCAACATTTAAAAAGTAGCGAATTTAGCAATATTCTTCCAGTTGCTAGGGGATTCTACCAAATATCGTCATGAATTTCACCATGAGATTGTTAAGGATTCATCACAGAAATCAAGTTCCCCAAGACGATTAGGATA